TTTTTTTTCTTTTCTTGGGGCCGGACATTTTTGCACCCCGGGGACCGGTCCGGACTGTCCGGTGTCCGGTGATGTCCGGATCACCGGACAGTCCGGACCGGTCACGACACTGGTCCGGAAGACAGTCCGGAAGTGTCCGGTGTCCGGGTCCGGGGTTACCATGGTACAAACAGAGTTAATTTAAATAAATTGAAAAAAAAAAAGAAGATCAGAGTTCAATGACAACTCTAGGACAATGCGTCATGGAGACTGTTCCATGTCTTCTTTTTTAGTTTTTCCAACTTTTTTGTTTTCCTCCTCCTCCTCCTCCTCCTCCTCCTCCTCCTCCCTCTTTTCTCTTCTTCAGAAGTGGAGAGGCGGTTAACGGAGACTTAAAGTTGTTCTTTTTTTCCTGAATCTGGATGGGTTTTAAGCAGACATGCAGAAACTTCTTAGAATGTTGATGTACCCAAGTTTTGCCAGACCAGAAGAAATGGCACACACAGAAAGGAGAGGACTTTATAAGGCTATAACTCGATAACTGTTATATGTAAATGTCATGACTCCACCATCCTTGAATCAAATGCTCTCTCTCTCTCTCTCTCTCTCTCTCTCTCTCTCTCTCTCTCTCTCTCTCTCTCTCTCTCTCTCTCTTTTTAAATTTCAAAGTGAGCTGGGGGGAGGTCCCACTAGCAAAGAGGATTGGATTAAGCACCTGAATCTGGATGGATTTAGCAGAGATGCAGAAAAGCAGATCAATCACGATTTTCTGCACCTCTCCACAAACACGTCCAGATTCAGGTGTTTAGTCCAATCCTCTTTGCGACCTTCTTAACCTGAAAAAAAAACTATGTATGTTGTATACAAGTACAAACGTATACAACGTGTGGGGTACGTTGTATTCGAATAGAACATTCGACGTACGTTATACAACCAGTTTTAGCCTTTAGGGTACCAAACTTCTCAGAAGCCTGTACTTCCACCCTTGAAATTTCCCCCCCCCCCTCCTCGACTCTGGTTGGAAATTTGGCCAAGACCCTCAGGCAAAAGTTTTTTCTATTGCAATTTTGAATTATGTACGACATGCCTTTTTTCGGGATTTTTTTTGGGGGTTTTCTGAAAATTCGAAATTAATAAAAAAATAAAAAAAATTGGAAAACAGAATGTCCCTGCCTGTAAAAATAGTTTAAAATACGAAAAAAAATAAAAAAATATTCTTGTTTCTATTTCTTTTCTTGAGTTTGATTGTGAATTTCGACAGGACCCTCGGCCAAAAGTTGTTTGTATTGCAATGCTGCAAAACATATGTTTTTTTTTTTTTCTTCAGAAAAATCACATATGTTTGTGATTTTCCTGATTCTTTTTGAAAAATCAACATCACAAAAATCCAAATACAACGTGCGTGCATTGTATTCGCATACAAGTTGATACAACACATCTACGTCATATTCGACCATACATTCTATTCAAAAAA